CTATTAAAGAACAACCATTTGATAACTATCAAAAGAAGACAAACAAAGATGTAAGCATAATTTATGTTTTATTCATAGTATGGACATTGCTAAAGTACACACACACGTTTCATTTGGTACTGATAGAATAATATGACATGGAAACAGTCTACAAGCGTTTTTGCAACTTCAACATTTTTACAACGCATTGCTTCAAACCATTCACCCATTCGGGTGATTTGAATGTATTGTCACGATAGTCCTTACACTGGTAAGGTACTAAATGGAAAGCAGGCATTGTGCACAGATCTGGATCATCAGTCACAAGTTTCATCCATTTTCCTATTACCAGTTCATTGTCCGCATCCTCAAGTGCCGCGTTGAAGTATTTATCCACCTGCTCCTGCTCCGTCATTCGACAAGAATGTTCTCCCAAAAAGATTGGATCACCTTCTTCATTAAACAGACAAGGAATACACATTTCACACACGAGCTGGCTGATCGTTTTACTCACTTCTAAAGAGTAACTCAACGTGAGAAGATCCTCTGCATGTTTCAGTTTTGTAGCCATATCCACTTCATCAGCGTCTTTAAATTTTCTCTTTGCATCTTTCGCGCATTCTTCCCTAACCACTCAGGCAATCTTGTTATGACTGGCTCATTTAGAGTGTGTGGCATCCGCATGACCTGCTTCCACGAGTAGAATGTAGTTTTCTTGCCTCTGTTCAAAATAGCAAGTTACATCACTGTAACACATTTAAAGTCATAAGTTTTCACTTGGCTCTGTGTTCATTATTTCATTTCTAACCATCATTAAGATCTGACCAAGTCTATTGCTGCCTTTCCATTTAGATGGATTAAGAATATTAGGGTCATGCAGTGATAGACCCACACCCCACACACGATCATACGGACTCGCTTGTACCAAGATCTTGGGAAAAGTGTCTAACAGTTGTTTCTTCAGAAAAACAGACTTTGTGAATTTAGCTGAAGATGCTGCATACACCACATTGGAACTCACAGCATCCCATTGGCATTGATTAAAACATCTCACACTTCTACCTAAACGTTTTTGTTCGGTGGCAGAAACACACTTTAAAATCTTATGCGCAGTTTCCCAATCTCTGAACATACAAGCTTTTTTATACATGTAATACTGCTCAGCACAGTTAAATGCTATTCCTTGGATAACAATCTCAGTAGAAAAATGTTGACTAAACACTGAAGTTCTGGTGTAAAAAAATACAAACTTGTCAGTTGTTCGGGTTCCCATGATCAGATTCAAGATGTATACTGGCGTGAAGATTTCGTCTTGTTGACAAGATCGCTGTTTAAGCTCGAATGAAAGCTTCAACAGTTAAACACAGCTTAACTTCTATAAAGTTGAATTTCATTAGTGTACCTTGACTTCCTTTAGCGTTTCATTGGTTACTGAGTATTCGTCGCAACATACATTTTATTAGTGGTTGAAACGTTGATCCTGGAATGTTATTGTTAACTTCTATTGTGTGAAAGGTATTGACTGGCCTCTATGGTATGCTTCACAAGAATGCTTTTGTTTGTTTCTTTACTCTACGCTCCATAGAAATGCTGCTCCACAGGAATGCTTTTCTTGGAAATTCCACGTTCCACAGGAATGCTTTTGTTGGAAATTCCACGCTCCACAGGAATGCTTTTGTTGGAAATTCCACGCTCCACAGGACTGCTTTTGTCCGGAAGGTAACAGGAATGCTTTTGTTGGAAATTCTATGCTCCCCAGGAATGCTTTTGTTGGAAAGTCTATGCTCCACAGGAATTTGTTGGAAATTCTATGCTCCACAGGAATGCTTTTGTTGGTACTCCACGCTCCACAGGAATGCTTTTGTCCGGAAGGTATTACTTTCTATCTACTGTTAATAAAGTTATTACTTCTGTCGACGCATCAGTGGGTCAGTGAGAATACAAATTTCTTCTCTTGCTTCCACATAAGTCTACAACCAACGATGTATGGCAGACATCAATCAGTTGACAATATCATCCTTCCGGGTACCCATACGCCGATGTGTGAACAGAAGCGTTTTGTAAACTGTGAAGCTGTGTTTTATATCGGCCGGAACCTGGAATCTCTTGGAATCAAGCTTCCGAGCGTCCTAACCCCTCCAGCTGAAATCCCCCGCTAATGCTGCTTACCTGCCTCCCATGTGCCCTATTAAGTGGTCCACCTTCCACAAGAAGAACGTCGATGATGTTTGATGTGAGATTTAACCTCACTCGCGTCGCAATGCTGTCCTTTCACGGTTTTTACATGTAATATGAGCTAAATATCAGACAGATGGCATTGAACCTGTACATTGGATAACCAACCACTGATTCCGCTAATTTTAACTGCACACAATACCGAATCAAATTCCAATGTGACTCCACTACTTTTGAGCCAATAACTCTGACAAATAAGAATAAAGGTTTGAAATCACAAATCTATCACAAACTGTTCATATTATGTGGATCAACGATCCTGTAACTATACTGACTACAGATTTTTTATGGACCACAAAACCTATTCAATTGATTGGTCAGGCATAAGAAGGTCAGATCTCACGTGACACTTAATTTGCTGTGATACTTGGCCCCGGATACATATTAAAGGAATAAAGTTCATGATGAGTAAATATTGTCATTGAACCACGTGAAGATCCGGGTTAAAATCGCCATGCTTGTCCTAAGAGCATACAAACGGAATCGGGTGATCAAGCTCGCTGACATCGTATTCCAAAAGCGTAGATCGATGTTCATAATGTCAATCAATGGACTGTTTGTTCCAGACTCGATTAATAACAGACAGTCGTAATTGACAGTCAATATTTATTCCTGACATTGATGACAGCGAGGGCCTAGTACATTGTGCTGTCATTCATAATAATTAAACATAATATTTATTTTATGACATATGAATATCTTCTAGGTAACACATTTAATATGTTGACCCAGTATGTAATGTAACTTCATTCATACATCGACAACCTTCCACACTTGCCATGTACCATTGTAATTTGAGTTCTAGGTTTCACAGTCAAAACCTTTTTTCACTTGTAATAAGTGTACCTATTTTCAATAACATCAAAATTGTCTAAGTCTCAAATGTCCGAGGTATTTAAAAATACGAGGACTTATTTTTCCAAAGATGGCCCTCCACAACACCCTTTCTCTTTCTATATGAGTTAGCACCACTTTCAAGGACTACTACATTGATTTCTTTCTGTATGGACAGTAGTTTTCGCTTCTTCACAATAACGCTCTAATGCATGTATTTACCTTTGTAAACAAGGTATCGTGCTCGAGACCATATGCTATGCCATCAGAAAGGAGAGGCAAAATAATATAATAGCTTCGGGGTGTTATTAATTACTATCTATGCAATTACTATGAATTTGATATACTAAATCAGTCATGAAAAATGGAAATAGAAAAAGACATAGTATACATCCCTGGCGGACACCGATGGTGCCTGTAAACATTTCTGATACACTTCGAAAACCTAACCTCTCATTATTATACACATACAAAAGAATCTATTTTCCAAAATGTCTTTGATAAAGTAATCACATATTGATTCTTTTCACAGAGTCAACTACATTATTTCCCTTTACTGATAAATATCTCTGTATTTTAGTAGGGTTAGGATTAAACCGTCGCCATTTGTAAAATACCCTTTCAAAACCCAGCTTGTGACACTTATATTTTCGAAGGTATCTGCCTAGACTACAAACCTCTTCTTGACGATGTCTGTAAATAATTTACTAAATATGGTAAGAAGAGTTGTTCCACTACAACTATTTACAACATTTGCGGCCACCTGTTTGTAAATCGAAACAAGAAAACCAGTCATCAAATTCCCAAGAAAATAGGATCTTTCAAACAGAATATAGAAAATAAGTTCACAATATAGCATGGCTGCTTAACATTTACAAAGTAAACTCCGCTATGGCATTATCAGAGCCAGAAGCATTGTCATCTGTAGGTTGTAATGTGCTAATATTAAAAAAAAATTGTGTTCATAGTAAATCCTGCATTCTGATAAGCTGATTTGGTCACGTGTTATTGCATTCATTTCCCAATGAATGTGAAATACTAAGCCATGCCCACCGAGGCGTACTACTTTATTACTACGGAATGTCGGGAAATCCTAATATTGCAATTCCCATTCTCAGGGAACTAATGTTTGAATCTTACGGTAGCTGACTATGACATTTGAAACAGCCGCCTTCTCCAGGATATATTTGTTCTGGTTCATTCGCAGTCTGTCAGTTTCCTTTAATGTGAAATCGTCTGATGAAAATCCACATAAACTGTTACCATGACCCTTTCGATATTCAAGAATAAATCCCCTACAACGGCGAAGGTGCGACTAACGTATAATGTGGTTATAATCACTGACCAGATCTTGTAGTTCATCCAGGTAGAGATAATGAGAGTACGAATCACACGTCCAGCACAGGAAGACCTGGTCTAATTAAGGGAGACAGGGGATACCCTTTTGCTTTAAATATCCCTTCATTTTCGTCTTGACCCGTGAAGATCCGGGGAAGAACAGGTCTTCAGCAACCCATGCTTGCTGTAAAAGGCGACTATGCTTGTCGTAAGACGCGACTACTGAGATCGGGTGGTCAGGCTTGCCTGACTTGGTCGATGCATGTCATCAATCCCAATTGCGTGGATCGATGCTCATGATATTAATCACTGGATTATCTGGTCTTGGGTAAAGTTGTTGTTCCAAATATCTTCTCCGGTGTCTTAATTATAGTGTCGGTGTTATATTTGTCTCGGGCTCCACCCTTAAATATCGTGTACATACATTCATGACCACCAACACATACACCGTCATTGTTACACATCAGCTAAGTCCATGTCATATCGACATTTAACAAACGATAATAAATCTACTTACTACAGGTACAGATCGTATTTCCTTCACACACCCTTTCAAACATTTCATTGTATATTAGCCGAGCCAGTTGACGAGACTCGTGTCTATCCTGTCTCCAAGCATGACTCATGCATTGTGGTGTTACTTTCAGCGTGATATTCTTTAGCCGACATCATTAGCCAATCAGACAAACAAGTCAGCATTCCCGGAACCATGATCACCTAGTGATGCCTATTATCATGATAATTATCCGTCTGAAATACTGGACAAGTTTGGTAAGTAGACAAATGATATATTTACTAAACATTAGGTTAGTGTTTGCTCATCTAAACGATATTTATATAAAAAATCATTTGAACATGTTTTGGTAATGATGATATAGATATTAAGTAAAAGGTCACGATTTTTACCAAAACTCATTATTCATTAATAGGTAGACAAAGAGAGCTAAATAGCCAGTTACCTGTACGCTGTATCAGTGAGTGTATATGCATGTGTCTGTGTCAAATATATGTGCCTTAATTGCGTAGTACATCATGATCAGTGTGATGAACATCGGCTCGTAACATGTTATAAAGAAACATAATAGATCGTACGAAATATTTGAAGTGAGAGACAGCCACATGTAGGTACAGAGAGACACAGAGTCAGGAAGACAGATACACTGAGTGACGGAGATAGACAGAAATACTGGACATGCTCTAATATTTTACGAACTCTTGTCAATTTAGAATGATTGGTGATCCTAGGTTGGAATTGGTGTATTTTCTCAAGTATATTGAAGGTCACGCTAGTATATTTTGGTGTATTGCGGGGAAAACACATGAGTTGACCAGCATGCCTTGAGAAGATCTATTCTTACAACTCTTAAGAGTTTTGTATGGGCAACATTCATCGAGCACCCGTCAAGTTGTTATGTAAGTTTGTTTCAGGTGCGAACAATGGGCGCTCAACTTACATAGCAAAAGAGAAATGTTTCTCGCTTGACAGCATTTGTAGAATATCTTCTCAAGCGTTTATGTTTTGAATTCCCTCATATAAAGACACACCGGATTTTAACAGGTCATACAAACCAGTGGTGTATTGATGGTGAAGTGGTTCCAGAAGGAAGGCAATTTTATAACGTTTGACTTTATTAAACAAAAAGAATACTGAAACATATAGAATTAAAAGAATGTGAATATCAAATAAAAACTAAGTTTGTTTAGCACGAAGTAAATTTTAGATATATTCGTTGATATTGGAAATACGTTAAAATCAGTAGGCGAATCCTAACAACGTGTAATGTTTGTGTGGGTTTTTTTTTAAATTTTAACAATTTTGTAATAGTGGTATTTCTTGTCAGAATTTTAAATCATTACATTTTAGAAAACAATCACTGACAAAATTTGTTTTCGTTTATCTGCAAGTTTTTCACAAGCTCAGTTCAATGTTATTTGTTTTGATTGGTATTTTATGTGATCATGTAACTTCTTAACATGCAACGCGCAACATGTAACATGCAGTCGTCTGAGGCACCGCAATTGAATTGAGTCCCTTTGTGACACCCCAAAACAATCACAGGGTTGTCTGGTCCCGACTTTATTATTTACAGACCGACATCATATAGCTGGACTATAGCTGGACTATTGCTGAGTGCGGTGCTAAGCAACAAACAAACAAAAACACCTACAAAAACAATGATCATGGGTTCCAATCCCCACATCAAGCTGACACGCCATTATATAGCTGTAAGACTGTTCAAAGCGGCCTTAAACCCAACTCGCTCACTCCCTTAACATGCAAGTTTTAACGTGATCTTAAGTCAAATTAATTCATTAATCCATAATAAATGTGTCTATACAGTTGACTTTCTTCCTCTTAATGTGCTGTCATTGTGTTTCAGAAATAATGCACGTGGAAATGTTTATGTTTCTCCTGCTGATGACGGATGCAACATGCATCTCTGTCAGTGGCTGTCACACCAGTTTTAGTGCAGCCTACCAGGGTAACGTCACCGACTGTCAAAGACAGAATCTCACTCAAGTGCCATCAGATCTTCCAAAGGACATTGTAGGTTTGGATTTACAAGATAATCTTCTCACCCGAATATCCAACAACAGTTTTAGCACTTTAAGTAACCTCAGATTCCTTTATCTGAGTGCCAATCCGCTAAAGATACTGCAGAGAGATGCTTTCAAAGGTCTTGGTAAACTGGAAGTCTTGGAAATGTCTTGTGACACGCTTTCATTGGACACGACAACATACCCAGATGGACTGTTCCAGTATTTGGTTAGTCTGAGGCAATTGGTTCTGTTAGGAAGTATAAATAACGAAGGACAATTCCCTACTGATATCGTCCAAGGTCTAAAAAGTCTAGAAGAGCTTCGTATTAACTCCTGGCCTAAAGACGGAAAATGGCCTCAACTAGAACAGTTGAAAGACACCCTCACACTTCTGAATATCAAAACCATAGGTATACCTGTTATTGGAAACACAACCTTTCAAGCTTTGCGTGATATTCCACTTAAAATATTAAATTTCAACAGTGTTGTTAGAAATATAGAAGCAGGAGCATTTTGTCCTTTTAAGAACCTAACCAATTTGCTAATTGGCCTCTCGCATGGAAGCACGACCAAGTTCGTCTCCATAACAAGAGCTCTTCAGTGTTTGGCTGGAAGAAATATGGAGGAAATAATACTGTCTCGAGTTGTTACCACAGGAGAAAGCAGTGTGACTCTAACAGAGGAGATGTTCGGTTATCTTGCAGATATATGTGTGAAAAAGCTAGACGTGTCTCATAATAAGATTACACGAGTTGATGATAATGCCATAACCAATTCGACTTTCGTAAGATGTATCGTATATCTAGACTTGTCTCGAAACTTGTTGAATGGGAAATTGCTCCCTGCTGCAAAAAATATGTACATGATGGAAAATCTGAAATATCTGGATTTGTCTCGGGGTACAAAATTGATCTTTTCTCTCAGTAACAAATATAATACCACAAAACGAGGAGGGGTGTATTTTCCCATACCTCCTAATCTAAGTTATGTAAACCTCAGCAGATGTTCCAGTTCTAACCATCTGTATATCAGTTTAACACTGACACAAAGCGATCATCTATCTGTGTTAGATATCTCTAGAAATGATCTTTTAGACATTCCGTCATATTTAGAATGCTGTAAAAACCTGAAACTCTTGGACATATCCCATATGAAGATCAGTCAGAATGTTTTCAACAACACCAACATGGTGACGAATCTCCAAATATTGCTTGTTCACGATGTGACGTCAGATGAAGACATGTTTGTGTCCCCATCTGAACCTTTTTTCCATGTCATGCCAAAACTAACAAGACTCGATTTGTCAGGCAATAATCTACAACTTATCAACAAAAATACATTGAGAAACTTTAACAAATTGGAAAACCTTTCTCTTGCACGAAATCGACTGGATGACGTACCAGAAGAAATCCTGATGATGGCTAGGCTAAAACATTTGGATATGACATCGAATTCCCTGTCAGTCATCAGTAAACAGCAACAGACAATGCTCGATGACTTTGTTGTGAATAACGGTTCGTTCTACCTCTACCTAACAGGCAACATCTTCAGCTGCAGCTGTGGAACTCTTCACTTCATACAATGGTTACTGGAAACCGATGTCACTTTAGACTACTTTTAACTACAGCTGCATCCTTGGTGATGGAACGTTGTCTGATACAGCTACCTTTTATGCAAGCAGGACATTTCAGTGGAGAACATGTGTTGGTCAGTTCTGGTTGGCGGTGGCCATAGTTGGAAACTTGATTGCACTGTTGTCTTTACTTGTAGCATTTCTTTTCAAGAAATATTTCCCCAAAATAGAACACCATGTATTGGATATGCTTGGTTATAACCCAAGACGCCGACCACAAAGGGAGGATTTTGATTATGATGCCTACATATGCTATGAAAATGCTGAGTATCAATGGCCATGTCACTGTCTCTTCAAGGAGCTCCAAAACGTCTCCCCTGGTATAAGACTGTACCTGCCCGACTTACATGACCCTGTAGGGTATCCCAAGGCTGAAGTGACCATTGATGCTTTGTCGAGAAGCTGGAAGATTGTTATCGTGCTTACAGAGAACTTCCTGAGAGACGAGTGGATACACTTTACTGTCCTGTCTATTGTCAGACTGATGTCCGTGAACAACGCAATCACGGACCGGGTCCTGCTTCTGTACAACGATATGTCCTTGGCAGCGAGAGCTCGAGTTCCTCATTTTCTCCTCAACGTGGTTTCAGAGGAACACATTCTTGACGTGGAGGAACACCCCCAGTTCTGGACACATCTGTGTCAGCGTATCCTCAACGCTGATCCCGCAGCCTTATTCTAAAGCTTAACATTTGATGTTTAATACAATATATTTAATATCTTTACAAGAATGTCAAAAGTGAGATTAGTTCTGTTCATGAGGAAATTGACTGAAAGTTCGAAGCATATGAAAGAAAGGTACAAGATTTCCAACAAATATACTGAGGGGTTATAAAAGGGAAACAAATGTATAATGCTGTTGATAATTCTGTAGTCATAAAGAACCTGAATGTTCACACGCACGAGGATAAGGATTCGCGAGTGACAAAGAACAAGGTGTTGGCGCTTCTGCCTGACGATCTGGAACTACGCAAACAATGTTAAAATGAAAGGAAGAGGCCTAGACATTTGGTCAGAGCAACTATGGATTCTTTGGAAGCAAAAGCTGAAGTTATGAAGGCTAAATCTACGCTGAAAGACTCTCGTAAACATAGGGTTATTATACTGAACATTGCATAACACCTGAGGAGTGAATGAAGCCCTACATCAAGATGTGAGGTTGCAGTACGCGTGATTGACTACATAACAGACTCTTTTAACGTTTCCATGGGTACTAAGCAAGGTTGCAAATTGTCACAACTCTATTTTCTCTCTATATAAATGATGTTGCCAAGTTGATAACGACTCTCAAATGGGGTGTACCACTGGATAACGAAATGTTACCCATATTGTTATACGCTGATAATGAGCTCAAAATAAAAAAATATCTGCAAAATATGTTAGATATTGTAAGTACTTTGTGTTTAAAATGGTGTATAAGAATTAATGACAAAATCAAAATTGTCCGTTTTCGGAAAATAAATCTATTTTTAGATCTTGTTATAAGTTTTATTCTTACAATACTCACATTTCTTATGACAGCGCTTATCGTCATTTAGGATTGTGTTTAAAAGAATATTTAGACATGCACAAGACTGTGAAAGAGCTTTGTTAGTCCGCTAGTAGAGCGTTATCTGCTCTGTACACTAAGTATATTTATGCTGTTGGAATGTCACATTATGTTTTTTTACGAAGTTGTATAAATCGCTGGTACAACCAGTTTTGTTTTATGGTGCCAGTATATGGGTCTTTCATAGTTTTAAAGAAGTTGAAGTTGTGCAAAATAAGGCTGCCTGAATATATCTTGGTTTAAGTAAACATGCACCTGTTCTTGCAAGTAGAGGGGATATGGGCTGGTGCTCAGTTACTGTTACTCAGAAAACAGCAAGAGCTTCTGCCTGATATTATTCACTGATTGTTTGGATGTTATACCACTTCTTACTGGAAATCAAATTGGGTGTTAAATGCTGTGTTGGGTATATGAAAAACGTTTTATTTCAGGATCACGTAGTTAATTTTCACACTTCGTTTTGGAATGTTAAGTGTAATGTAAATGGAAATAAGTTAAGCACTTGCAGAAAATTTAAGTTTACACCTGCTGTTGATTTCTATGTTAAAAATATTATGTATAGAGACCACCGCCGTCTTTTAGCCAAGTTTAGATGTTGAATATTACCTTTGTTTGTTGAGGGGGGCACGGGTGGCCAAGTCGTCAAAGGCGCCGCGATTCGCTGTGCAGAGTTGCTTCCCTTGGGCACGCCAGAAACCTATGATTGTGGGTTCGAATCCGGGTTCGCCCAGATTATGTTTCTAGGTTTGTCAGCACCATACCCGTGCTCGTAGGTTTCACCGAAGTGGCAGACGTCTGAGACCTGCATCACTTCGGGCTTTCCTCCCACATTAAGCTCACACGCCGTGATATAACTGGAATACTGTTAAAAGCGGCGTTAAACCCAACTCACTCACTCACTCACTTTGTTTGTTGAGACAGGTAGATGTTCCAAACCTTCTATACATCTATCGGAAAGGTTATGTAAATATTGCGATTGTGATTTGGTGGGAGATAAATGTCACTTTTTACTACAAAGCAGTTTTATGATGATTTCCGGTATGATTTATATTGCGCAGCTCAAAAAAACCCTGAAGTTTAATGTGATATGCGAAGAAGACAAATTTATTCATTTAATGAATTCAAACGTTTTACCAAAGTTGCTTGCCGCAACGCCTTGTTTAAGAGACGACAGTTGTCACCATGATTATTTAATTTGCTCTCTCGTTCTTTATTGTGTCCTGTGAGTCTTCTGAATTCGTAGCTAGATTTTCAACCTCTCACATTATATATATGTATATATTTTGTTTATGTTGTATATAGTGTCTTTGTCTGGCTGGACGCACTCCATACACCTTTTGTGCTATGCGTCAATTATATATTGTACATGTTGTGCATGTAACACTTTAATAAACGTTTTACAATCAACATCGTTCAGTTTTCTTAACCTTTCTGTAAAATTTAATCCTGACCTTACCGTTTTGTTAACAAAGAGATCACGATGGTCGCAAAGGAAATTCTTATAAAATGTATGACACTGTACCTACGAAGTGCAAAACAAGCAAATTCTGCTTGGATATTGTGTCAGTGACGGCTTCAAACAATAGAGCAACGTCACGGTCGAAATTAGAATGGATAACCGCGACGAACAAACAATATATTAAGGTGCCACATGGTCTTGTGGACAGCGTACAGGTCACAAACCAACTGAAGTTAAGCAACGTTGGTGGCGGAGAGTAGTTGGATGTGTAATTGCGTTCGGCGGCTTGACTCCTGAAGTACATTGTGCAGGCTTAGGCAAGTGTGTCTTGCTTCACATGCCTTTTTCATCCAGCAGTGAATGGGTCTCCGGTAGAATGAGATGGTAATGTTAACCTTAATATAACTGTTAACCTTCAAGCTCCTCAGTCAACTTAGGTTGTATACTCATCAGGGAGATGAGAATGCACTGATTCATCTCTAGTATTCTGAGTGTTCTTATGGTATCCAAAATGGGATGATAAGTAGATTTCATGTAGATCATAGTTAAGGAAGAGAAGATATGGATGTCAAGTTCTTAATAATTAAACGTCGCTCACAACGTTGGCTACAGAAAGTGCTGGTTTATCCTCAATTAGAGCTACTGAAAGTAAACAAAATGCGTCTTAATCGAACCTGCTTTTGGCAGAGGTTACTTTTGAATGCGGACATGATCTGTTGCTAATACCTATATTTAGTTTGTTTGTGATGGTAAAATAGCTCTCGCAACAAGTAGCATCAGCAGAGAAGGTTGATATACTTATTATCTCCGCGACAAATAGATAGCTTGCGTAGTGATGTTGAAAGTGATACAAGGACGCTACTCTTGCTCACTCGTAACCGGACATGGTACAGATTTGAACCATTTTTCAGCCACCGCCTGTTGGTTAAAAGCGATAAGCTTGCGTCGCACACAAACAGTGGAACCAATTTAGAAACGCTTCCCCCTTTTTCGATCTCCTGGTATTCTTCCTGTAAATTAAAATGATTGGTGAGTGTAAGCTCTAATTGGTGTATTTACTCATATATTGAGTACACAAGGGAAATTCTATCCTGCCAATACTTTAGGAGGTTGTATGCGCTACATTCCTCGATCACCCGCGAAATGATGCTGTAACTCATCTGTTGCCAAAGTCATCCAACAAAGACCTGGTTTCAGCGGCCAATAAGCGCTCAGCTTACATAGCACAGACGGCAACCGTATGTCGCCTGACATCATTTGTATAGAGACATGGTCTTCTGGGTGTCTGCTCTTGACATTGCTTTAATGGTAGACACCGAACAGGTTCTCACAAAGCTTCAGACAGAGTGGGATTCCTTCCATGTGTTTTAAACAGATTCATGTCATTAATTTTACATGAGCCACTACTTCACCGTCTAACTGACACTTGTATTCCCGGGGGTATACAAACTAGTGGGTTATTGAGAATGGCGTGTTCAAGCAGGAAGACGATTTGGTATTACGTGACTTTATTCAACAAGAAGGAAGAAACAAAATGCTTAGAATTAAAATGTTTATAAACAGCAAACCGAGAATGCGACCGCCAACGTTTGGTGTGTATGAAGCAAATTTAAGATATACGTTGATATTTGAATGGAGTTTAACAAGAAGACAACTTCTTACAATGTTGCTTGCTTTTGACGTGGTTGTTATTGTAGAAACAATGATATATCTTGTCAAAATTTGATATAATTGAATTCTAAAACAAGCACCGAAGCAGGTTTGTTTTCATTTATCTGCACGTTATTAGGCCCAATCTACTGGTACGTGATATCATGTGTCATACGATTACTTCTTAACAAGGGGCGGGGCGATTGGGTAGCCTAGTGGTTGACGCGTTCGCTCGTCACGCCAAAGACCCGGGTTCGATTTCTCTTCAAGAAATATTTCCCCAAAATAGAACACCTCGTATTACACATGCTTAGTTTAAATCCAGGACGCCGACCACAAAGGGAGGATTTCGATTATGATACCTACATATGCTATGAAAGTGCTGAGTATCAATGGCCATGTCATTATCTCTTCAAGCAGCTCCAAAAAGTCTCCTCTGGTATAAAACTGTACCTGCCCGACTTACATGACCCTGTAGGGTGTTCCCAGGCTGAAGTGACCATTGATACTTTGCCGAGAAGCTGGAAGATTGTTATCGTGCTTACAGAGAACTTCCTGAGAGACGAGTGGATACACTTTACTGTTCTGTCTATTGTCAGACTGATGTCTGTGAACAACGCTATCACGGACCGGGTCCTGCTTCTGTACAACGATATGTCCTTGGCAGCGGGAGCCCGAGTTCCTCATCTTCTCCTCAATGTGGTTCAGAGGAATACATTCTGGACGTTGAGGAACACACCCAGTCCTGCACACGTCTGTGTCAGCTTATCCTCAACGCTGATCCCGCAGCCTTATTCTGAAGTGTAACAATGCTCTGATTGTTAATACAAATACATGTCAATTCATTGCCTTTTATGTGACCTGGGAGTTATTTGTTGTAGCATACGTATCCCATTTGAAAATGAACTGGCGATGGAATACCTAAACTGTTTCACAGACAACACCAATCCAAATCTTTCAGTTTCCTTGATTTATCTGCATACATTAATCTCGTCCTTACCAGGTCTTTTTGTGGAGAAATCAC